CTCCCGCAGCGCTCCTCGCCGGCGCCCCGAGCCCGCTCCGGAAAGCATCAGCATGCCTTGGAAGGGGGGCTCCCGGGAGGCAGCGGCAGCAGAGTTGCCTCGGTACCTGCCCAGGCTACCGGTGTCCACTCTCGAGGGGCGGGGCTGCGGCGCGCCCCGCAGGCTCAGCGCGGACGGCACGAGAGAGGCCTTGGGCTCCGGGTTCGCGACCCGTCGGGACTGGGCCATGGTCTTGCAGCTGCCGCCGCGGCCGTTCCAGTGTGTAGCGTTCGCTGCCCTTCCCGGGCCCCACCGGGAGAGGAACTGGCGCTGGCGCTGGGGAAGGAAGCGGCTTGAGCAATTGGGTTCAGAGGGAGGGAGCAAAGGAGAGGAGGAGGAGGAGGGAAGGAGCGAGCGAGCTAGGGGAGGGCCCCCGCGCGGGCGGTGGGGGGCGTGGAGGGGTGGGAGCTCTGGCCGAGTCTCCAGGGCAAGCCGGGCTCCGACACCCCGGGTACCGCCGCCGTCGCCGCTTCTCTAGTTCGCGGGCGGCCCCGCCCCAAACGGCCAGGTGAGCTCTGGAGCCCCGCCTCTGGCAGGCACGGACAGCGAAGGGGCGGACGCGGGGGCAGGCTGGGAGCAGGCCTGCGGCCCTGGAAGCCCAGCTTGTTCTCACCATCCCAGGAACTGTTCGGGGGAAGAGGTTCTAGGGCGCCCCCTCCCCGGCGGGCTGAGCTCGGCTTCCAGCCCAGGCCTCTTACAGCTTGATCCTTGAGCTTCAGGGCACTCGCTCTCCGCCCCCTTCCTTCGCCCTTTCCTCTTATCTCTTCAGAAGTCTCTCTGCACTTTGTCCCTGAGCCGCCTTTGTCCCGCGCCTAGTATTCACGGAGGTAGCTTGGCTGTCCCATGTGACTCTAGCTCCTCTGCCTTACCCTCCCCCTAGCTCCTGGGGCTGCCCGGGATTCTTGCAGAGAAACCCAAGACCAGGGTCCAGCCAGAAGCTCATCCCGGGAATTATGAAGGGACATTCCCCTGCTGCCCCGCGGCTGTCTGTTCAGCTCTCTACTCTCGTCTCACCTCCTAATTTTTCCTAGATGGCTTGAAAAAAGCAGCTACAGGTGACTCAGTCAGCACCTGGGAACACCCTGCCCTCTTCAGAGATACCTATCCCATCTCTCTCCCTGAGGGACCTGCTTTTTGCAAATTCAGAGCTTAGGGTTTTGATTTTTTTTTTTTTTAAAGGAGGGCATTTTATCTTTTTTTTTTTTTTAACTCCTAATGCCAGCGTCCTCTTTGCTCTTGCTTCCTTCAGTAAATGATAGTGCTTGCTTCCGCCTTTCACCATGCTAAGGAGTTCAGTGAACAAAAAGGAACCATAGAAGGTTCTTGAGTCAGGGAAGATACAGCCATAATTAAGGTTGTGTTAAGAAGATGATTCTGGGCGAGGCAGAAGCAGGCAGCTAGGAGACTGTTCCAGCAGTCTAGGCCAACTAGGATGGAGGCCCAGGTCAAGCCAGCCCACTTGTGGCACCAGTGAGGGAAGGTGTCAGAAGCTTTTTCCTCCTTGGTCCTCACATATTTGGGATCAGTCTTAACTATTTTAGCTTTCTTTCATGACAGCTTATGCACTTGTAATTCATTTTGGAACATTTACTATGTGCCAGTCACTGTGCTAGATGCTTTGTATATATTAACTCTTTTAATCCTCCCAGTGACCCTAGGAGCTAAGAATCATTACTATCCTTAGTTTGCAGAGAGGTGAGGCCACTTGCTCAAGGTCATCCAACAGGAAGTGGCAGAGCAGGTCTGTGTGACACCTTTGTCTGCCTTTGTTCTGGCACACAGGGACTGGCATTGAAGCCAAGCTTATCAATTGCAAATCACTCACACAAGTCCCAAATTCCAGCCAAATGGATGGACTTGTCATAGCCTGAGCATATCTGTAATTTGCCCTTTTCTACCTGGAATGACCTTTCTCTCAGCTTCTGTCTAGTGACGTTCTCCCTGTCTTTCAAGGTTAGCCTCAGTTTCCACCTACTCTAGTAAGCCTCCTCTGATTACTCCAGCCCACAGTGATCACCCTCCTCTCCAGCCCTCTGTTTCTACTACCCTTTGGCACCCAGGGTAGACTGCCTTGTGCTGTATTTCTCTCTTGTTGCTCTGACATGCCATGTAGACTACAAACTCTTGGATGACTATGTCATACCATCCTTGTGCCCCTAGTAGGTACCCAAGAAATATTTGTCACCTTGTTCAGGCTTGGCAGCCTGGGAAAATGTGATTGTGTGTGTCTGTGTGTTGGGAGGGAGTTACATTCACAGCCAACACTCAGCATATCCCTGCCTCAGACTGAATCTGCAGGACACAAAAGGCAGCTCATAGATTTGGCCAATTCATTAAAAAAAAAAAAAATCACCTCCTTGCCTTTGCTGACTCCTCAGAGACCAGGCCCAGGCCCAGAGTGGGCCCCATGCTTTCAGGCTTTCATTTTCAAAATGAACCCTGACTGACAAGCAGCTACTTCCGTTGCTCTGGAAACTCCCCTCCGCAACCCCAAATCTGTAAACACCAAACCACATACATGAACACACACTTCCAGAATATGCAAACAGCTGCAGCAGTATTTTTTTAAAATACAAATTCCATCATGGAGATGCAGGATGGGAGAATGCTTGGACTATTAATTTTCCCCACCACTAAGCAGGCAATTCTTTTCCCTATCAGCATTAGTAATATCTCCGGTTCCAGTTCAAAGACTGCACAGGCAGCCACCTGATCAGTGCCACAGACCCATGACACATGTGCCCTTGCTTAACTGTTGCCAGAGACCAAAGCCACGGTGCCTCCCTAGCAACTCGTTTCATCTTTACTTAGCAAGTGCTTTCTACCTCAGGTCACCAGCTGCACACACCATTCCCCAGAACCGCAGCACCCATCTCTATTTCAGTAGAAAGGATCTCTGGAATGTGATACTAGGGAGTGGGGGAGAGGGAGTGGGATAGCACACACCCACTTAAAAATAAGATACCTGAAACATTTGCTATCCCTACAAGGGAGTGGGGCGAAAACTCCTCAAGCCCTTGGAAATTACCTTCCAAAAACTTGGGTGTAAGGTGGGTATTCACATTGCAAATGGTAATACCTTGTGTCTTTTCCAAATTGCAGACACTCAAATATATCCGGGTTTATCCATAAATTTACTAGATCCAGGACTATTAGAACTAGAAGAGATTTTTTTTTTTTTTGAGTAGGAGTCTCACTCTGTTGCCCAGGCTGAAGTACAGTGGCACGCTCCTGACCACCACAGTCTCAACTTGCTGGGCTCAGGTGATTCTTCCACCTCAGCCTTCCAAGTAGCTGGAACAACAGGCATGCACCACCACGCCTGGCTAAATTTTTGATTTATTATATAGATGAGGTCTCGCTATGTTGCCCCAGGCTGGTCTCTAACCTGTGAACTCAGGCAATTCTCTCACCTCTGCCTTCCAAAGTGCTGGGATTATAGGCATGAGCCACCACAACTGGCTACTAGAAGAGATCTTAATGTTTCTTTTTTCTTTCTGTTTTTTGTTTTGTTTTGTTTTTCTTCAGAGTCTCACTCTGTCAACAGCCTGGAGTACAGTGGCATGTTCGTGGCCACCGCAGCCTCGACTTGCTGGGCTCAAGTTATCCTTCCACCTCTGCCTTCCAAGTAGCTGGCACCTACCACTATGCCCAGCTAATTTTTTTATTTTATTGTAGAGATGAGGTCTCACTATATTGCCCCAGTTGGTCTCGAACCCCTGGGCTCAGGCAATCCTCTTGCTTCAGTTTCTCAAAGTGCTAGGATTACAGGCGTGAGTCACCATACCCAGCCTAGATCTTAATGTTTCATTGGTCTTTATTTTCCAGATGAGGTGTTTTTTGTTTTTTGGGTTTTTTTTGAGTTGGAGTCTCACTCTGTTGCTCAGACTGGAGTGCAGTGGCCGCTCCCAGCCACTGCAGCCTCAACCTGATGGGCTCCAGTGATCCTTCCGCCTCAGCCTTCCGAGCAGCCAGAATTACAGGCA